GCAGCTCCTACCGTGGACGACTCTGATGTATCGACGTGTCTGAGTATCGAATGCGCAATGAGCTTTGCAGCTACACTGAGAGGGGAAGAAGAGATTCTAAACAGAAATTCCAAGAAGCCGAGAGTTAGTTCCATTAGTCAAGGGGAGGGCTCGAAGTTATCCCGGTTGTGTTTTGCAACGGTGTCTAACATATCGGAACTGCCGCCCAGTGGTTGCTGCAAGAACGTGATAAGCGTGACCTGATGATGAAAACGAATCGCCGTCGATTGAGATATCAAGGGAAATGTGCCAAGATCTGATCGAACATGCTATGGAAAGCGAACGGCAGCGGATTGGTCTCTTAAGTACGGAGTATACAAATACTGAACTACCAGAGGTACTCGGCACACTAAGAATATTGTATGAGGACAGTGGTAACTCTGGTATCTTATTGTCAAAAGATAAAAGACGAATTGCTGGCTTCTGGAATAGAGAGCCAGCATCTAGCTATTCTATATAGACAACGGGCAGCCATCCTCCCCTCACTCTATGAGCGAGGGTAGCCGAAGCAACTCCGCAGTGGCGCTGCATTGATCTGCCAGAAGGAATCTACTGACCCCGTATAGAAACAGGATTCTCATATCCCATCAATCAGATTCTCTTCTATTGCATCTGAATGATGTCATAAAGTGGTTGGAAACCAGTTCGGACACCTGTGTGATGTCATGAGATAGATGGGATTATCCGAAGGGAAGCGATGAGCCGTGCGGAGCCACCACGGGGCCTTGGCACAATCAAGAGTGTGACAATTAATTTTATTGATATTGATTGTTAATGAAGTTGTAATTTTGATAAAAATAGATTCAGTAAAAATAAAGCTATTCTTTTTTTAAATAATATTCATTTAAATGATTGATTCTTTTACAATTGATTTTGCTGAATTTATTTATTTGAAAATATTTGAAAAAATATTTTCTCTTAAAACAAATGCTGCATTCATATTTGCAGTTATATATTTTATAAATTTTTTATAAAAAATTTAAATAAAACTCTGATTGATTGAATGTTTTTTTTTTAATTCAATTATTTAAAATCTTTATCAATTTGATGAAAATTTTTTATTATCAATTTTATTATTTCTAAATCTTCTCAAACTGTCTCTGCAATTGAAAGATGATTATGAGAATGTTGTTATTAATTTTTTAAAAAATTGAAAAAGATATTGTAATGATTTTTCTTTATCTTTTTTTCAATCTTTTCAATAATAAAATTCATTGATGACTCTGACTTTAATGATCTGATGATAGACTGTGTTGATATTTTTAAATGAATGAGAAAGTGTTGAAAACTTCATGATCACTTAATCCGTATGAAATTACATACACAGAGAAATTACAAAGAGTGTGAGATGATATTAAATGAGTTAAAAAATTGAAATTATGCTGTAGATGAGTGTAAAAGCAAGAAATTCAAATGTATTTCTATATTCAAGGGTAGTTGTAAGGATGTACTCCGTACCTTCGAGTGATGTGATAGAGAAAAGGAAATATGCTTCACTGCGGTGGGATATAATGCCCAATTGATTTCATCCACATATGTATATATCACCGACAACAGCAACTAGATTAAAAACTAGGCCTGCTGAGATTGGAAATGAAAATGAATCATGGCTAGTTTGAACTTTTTACAAGTTGCTGTTGGAATATGCCAACTTACCAACATGTTTGTTAGATAACTAGTTTAACATATTTGTTTGTTGTCATAACTTCTCGCTGTAGCTGTTTTTTTTTTTTTTTCTTTGCCACCACAGGCTCAGGGCTTGATCCAGTCCTCCTCCCCCGAAGAAACCAGGAAAGGAGTCGGGAAACAGAATCTTGAGGTATTCATTTCATTTATTTTGCCCCGCAAAAGGGCCCCCCTACAAACAGATAGACGCTTTCCCACATGCTAAAGAATGATGTATCTTGCATAAG